CCCTTTCTAAAAATCAATGGGGAAAATATCCTCAGGTGAGGGTTAATAAAAAGGGGAAATTAGGGTCTGTGCTGGGCTGGACCCACGAGTTGGGACCCTGGGTGGGTGTTGGCCTCTGTTCCCACACCTGCGATCCATGTCTCCTGACAAAAGCTGCTTCGAGTCCTGCATCCCACCTGGTAGCATCAGAGCTGAGGCCCATTAATTCCATAGGAGGTATCCTTCCCGAACTTGCCATTGTGATTCTGGACTTGTTAACAAGGCTGTGGCTTCTCTACCAGGGGGGCACTGTGATTGTGTGGAGGAGCCACTGTGGATTTGCTGCAGGGACAAGTGGGCAGGTGGCTGGGGTGTCACAGGCTTTATCCTTCTTCTCTGATCCCTTGGCTAATCTCCTCTTGTTTCGCCACACAGGGAGCAGGATCTCAACTTTCATAGAAGATTCTGGCTCCACAACACTCCTCACCTGCACCTTGAATGCCAGTGACACTGAGATCCTAGGACACCGCTGGATGAAGGGAGACAGGGTGCTGCATGAGGACACGCTGTCCAATCTGACAACACAGTATGAGTGCGTAAGACCCCATGGAAGCGCCGAGGTCCCATGTCCTACTAGTCCCAACAGCAGCTCTGCTCAGATCCCTCAGTCATGAAAAGCCCAGAAACCAGGGAGGGTCCAGTAGCTATCTGGTGTCACGGCCTCTGAGACCCTTTTCTCTTTCTTCCAGGTGCTGGCAAGGGATGAGGGCATTACATGGGTCCCCCTCAGCCTGGATTCCCTGTGTTCCCATTCATTAAGGTCTCAGGCACTCAAGGCTGAAACCATGTCTTAACTGAGGCCAAGCTGGCTCTGGAAACATAGAGCCTTGTTTTGGGCTTCTAGGGTTGCTGGGTACAGAAGCTCATTGATACGGGCACCAGGTCAGGAGTGGGGCCAAACCCATCTGCCATCCACAAAACTACCTTGTCCCTCCTTGATGGGACATAGGCAGTATGCACCCTCCTGCAGGGTCTCCTGACCATGACCTCTGAGGTCTTGCTCTGGCCCCATAGGGCCACCTGTAGGTGGTCAGCTCATGGCTGTGTCTGCTTGCAGGGTGAAAACAGATGAGAGCATGGGACAGTACTTCTGCATCTTCCTCCCGGAGTCTGCAGGCAGGGCCAACGTGGATGTGAAGGGTGAGCTCCGTGGCCCCCAGAGCACATAGGAAGTAACAGCTCATCCATCCCTAGGGTGAGAGGAGCCCACACACTGAAGGAGGCTTGGCTCCTCCAGGCTGTGAGACTCAGGCTCCACTGTGTTCTGCCCCCCACTAGGGCCCCCCAAGATTAAGGCTGTGAAGAAGTCAGAACATGCCACCGAGGGGGAGACAGTCGTGCTGGTCTGCAAGTCTGAGTCTTTCCCCCCAGTTACCAAGTGGTTGTGGTACAAGATGAGTGATAACGGAGACCAGGTGAGGGCTGCACTGGCATGGGGCTGGGTGAAGGCCGGGACCTCAGTGCCCTACAAGGTCTGCCTGCCCCCAGGTTCTCACCAACAACTCCCAGAACAAGTTTGTGGTGTTCTTGGAGGACAAGACAGAACTGCACATCCAGAACTTAGACCTGGAGGCTGATCCTGGTAAATATGCCTGCAATGGCACCAATGCAGAGGGCACTGGCCAGGCCGTAATCACACTGCGCGTACGCAACCGTCTTGCAGCCCTCTGGCCCTTTCTGGGTATCGTGGCTGAGGTGCTCGTGCTGGTCACCATCATCTTCATCTATGAGAAGCGACGGAAGCCGGATGAGGTCCTGGATGGTGAGTTGGCCCCACACCCTTTGCTCCCTACCTGTGGAGCACCCGGGGGCCTGGGCACCGACCAGGAATGCAGTATAGCAGAGGGCACTTTGGGGTTGAGGGAAAGCCTGCTCTTCTGGGTTGGGTCCGGTCCCCAGGCTTCTCAGGAGCTCCCCCACCCTTTTTTTTTTTTATAATTTTTATTTATTAACTTTAGAGAGAGGGAGAGAGAAACATTGATTTGTTATTCCACTTATTTATGCATTCATTGGTTGATTCTTCTATGTGCCCTGACCAGGGATCGAACCTGCAACCTTGGTGTGTTGGGATGATGCTCTAACCAACTGAGCCACCTGGCCAGGGTCTCTTGCCCCACCTTCTACAGCTAGAGTCTGCTTTCCCCCACAGCCTCACTTGGCTGCTGGCAGGTGTCCTCTAACGAGTGTCTGCCCTCAGCTGCTCGGCCTCCCTTCACAGCAGCTGCTTGGGTCCAAGGGCTGGGGCCTGAGCAAACCCGTGACTATACCTGTCGAAGCTCAGGAAACCTGAGCCACCGGCCAGGTGGGGCACCTGCCTGCCTACCTGCAGGTGGACAAGGAGAGCAGGCAGGGCTTCTGGAGGTCCTTGGGTTGTGACCCCAGATAGCTCATTTTGAGGGTATATGTCCCAGGGACAGGGCTGGCTCCCCATATGTCCAGTCGAGGATACAAGGGCAGGGTCCAGCAGCACAGGAACCACCTCTGACACCTCTTCTTCTCTTGTACATGGCTTGGCTGCACATCTGCACAGATGAGGACACAGGCTCCGCTCCACTGTGAGTCCTGGCCTCGCTGAGCGAGGNGCTGAGCGAGGCGGGGGGGTGGGTATGGGCAAGGTTGGAGAAGCTGCTGGCCTGGGTGCCCCTCCATCTGTGACGGGGTTTGGGGTAAGGGGCAGCTGTTTTGTCGTGAGCACTGAAAAGCCTCCTTATGTCCCCAGGAAGAGCAGCGGACACCACATGAACGACAAAGATAAGAACGTTCGCCAGAGGAACGCCAACTGAGGGAGCTAGTGAGTGAGGTGAGGGGTGTGACTGGGGGAGTGGGGAGCTCCTGCCCTGCCAGGGCTGGGGTCTAAGTGCCCCTTCCTTCCTGCAGGCAGTGAGGAGGAGTCTGCACAGGCCTGAGCTGCTGTCCAGAGGAGCCCGGTGTTCCAGGTGTTCCTGGTGTTTGCACCATTCCAAGTCCTCTCCTCTTGAAGGAAACCTACCCTGCAAAGTAGACCAAACTGTGGATTCAAATCACATGTTTTCTCGTTTTCAAAAGAAACTAAACTAGGGTTTTCTCTATGTAGATTTCCATTCCTTAGGGGTATTGTTTTTTATTTTTAAGAGCACTCCAGGGGAGCCTTGAGGTTCTGTGGGAGGCCCCTGCTGTCCCCTACCCATACCCTCAGTATGCCCTGGGCATTTTAATTTAGCCTTCTAGTCCAATCATGCTAGGTGACTGTGGAAGGCAGGCTGGCTTTTCCCTGATACTCCTTCCACAGCTCACCTCCTGAGGCTGCTGGGCCTTGGTTCTGTCGCTTCCCTGCCCTTTTCAGGAGGTCACAGGTCACGATGCCTGGCATCCTGGCTGTCTGAAGCAAGTGCTATCACATCACTGCAGGTCTGTGTGACCTGGGACAGCCTGACCTCATGGCCGCCCCTCAGGGTATCCCTCTTACTACTCCTGCTGTCCCCACACGTGGGGGTGGTAGTTTGGGTGACCATGGAGTGGGAGTTGCTGTAACAGCCCCATTCCCATCTGTGCCCATGGTGACTGAAGAAACCCCACCCTAGCTGGGCCTGAGGCTTCTTTCTCCACAGCATCCTGACTCACATGGGAACCCCCCACCCCACCTGCCTGCTCACCAATAAAGGCTGACCCACCTCTCCCTCTCCTGGCTCCTGTGTGCACTGGTCCTGGATCTGACAAGGAGAGCTGGGGCCAGGATTCAACTCAGGACAAGTGCTAAGCTTTACTGAGGCCCAGAGTGAGGTTACAGTGCACTGGAGAGCACATATGGGGGCAGGGGCAGGATAGGGTAGAATAGAGCTGAGCACTTGGGCTGGGAGCTTTGTTCCCAAGACAAAGGGTAATAGCAGGGAGGGGTGGACAGGCCATGGGGGGCCCTGCAGCAGATCTGAATGGGGTGAGTGGTGACCAGCTGTTTCAGAGGCCCTGGACAATGCCTTCTTACTGGCTCCCCTATATGGGATAGACAGCCTCTACCCACCCATCCTGGGTAGGACACTCCCTGTGGTCCTGTGAGTGGTGGTCCCAGCCAGGGACTCTCTAGGACCTGTGCAGGGGAAGGTGCAAGTGGGAGCACCTGGAGCCTGGCCTCTTGGGACTGTTCCAGCTGAGGAGGGTTGGGGCCTAGAAAGCAAGAAGGGGGCGCCTGCTCACCCAGATTGCACCTGGACAGGCACAGAGGCATGGACAGGTTGAAGGACCAGGGAGCATTCTGGGGGAGCAGGTCACAGGAGGCAGGACCTCATGGAACCCTGGGACTAGCAGGTACCATCTAGGCCTCCCACCTGGTGCAGCAGGGAAACTGAGTCCCAGAGAGGAAAGAACTTGTCCAGGGTAACCCCATTTCTACACCTAGGAAACTCCCCATTCTGAACACAAGCTCACACTATAAGCAGGTCTGGGTGAGGGTCTTGGAGAACATTAGACCAGGTCTTCAGAGAAGCAGCTTTATTCAGTGTTGGGAAAAGGTCCAGCATAACTGCCACAAAGCTGAAAAGATAGGCTGTGCCCACCAGCCCTGCCTACTGACAGCTACTTCACTGAGGCCTTCAAGGCCACATAACAGTCAGCTGCAAGTCTGATTTCCCCACGCTCCTATGGGCAGAATAGGGGGTACTTTATAGGGTCCCCTCACCCTGTTTGTCCTGCACCCCACACCCTGGGAACAGCTACCCCTCATTTCATAGGAAGGAACTGAGGTTGCTCCATGCCAGAAACTCCAAGCCTAGGGATTTGGAGCTGTCCCTGTCTAGCCCTGCCCTCTAGCCACCACAAGAGGGTGCCACATGCACACTGCTGAGGGAGACTGGGGCCAGGGAAGCAAGTTAGCCCTTTGTTTACTGCTTGGTCCTGTGTGCCTTCCAGCTGGACACACCTGAATGTCAACCTCCCTGAGCCCTGGGATCCTCAGGAACCCATCACTTCAATTCTTCTGTGGCCCATAGGATGCACATGTCTTCTCGTTTATTCAGCAATATTGATTGGGCACCAATGGTATACATTGGGCTGGGGAGTCTGGATAGGCTACAGGTCCAGTGGGAAGAGCCAAACCCGTGATGAGGTAACAGTGACGCTGGCCCCTCATTGGGGATGGCTTGGCTAGGCCTCCTGGCCAGCCTATCCCTCCCCAATTCTGGGGGCTTGAATGGGAATTTGCTTACTTGGGGTCAGATGAGGCAGCTGCACTGGGTTCTTCATCAAGATGGGCAGTACTGCCCTGGCTGGGTGGCTCAATTGGAGCATTGTCCCATGCACCAGAGGGTTGTGGGTTTGATCCCCAGTTGGGACATATACAGAAGGCAGCTAATGTTTCTCCCCATCCCCTCTTTCTAAAATCAATAAAAAACATATCCTCAGGTAAGGATATATTTTTTTAATTAAAAAAGATGGTCAGTGCTGTGGGGTTGGAAGCAGCAGTGCTGTGGAGCACAGAGCAGCAGATGGGGGATGTGTGGTGTGGAGAGGTGAGCAAGACTCAGCCTCCTTGGCAGGTTTACACAAAGCATCCTCTAGGGAGAGATGCTGCTCACCATGTGTGGATCACCACCCAGTTCTTGTGCACATAGTAAAATAAACCTAATTAACAACTGGGCCAGCAGCCTTGTCCCTTTTCCTCATACTAAGTATTCTTGTCCATCCACTCAGTAAGCAGCCCTGTGCCACTGGGAGGAGTTCTTGGTGACAACCCACTGAAACCTACCTCAGTTTCCCCAGGGGTGGGATGGAGAAGTCAAAGCAGCCAAGTCTCAGGATTTATGAGAACATCTTTAGCAAGTACTTGGAGGGTTCAGGAACCAAGGTTTCAAGATCCCAGCCTGCTCAGGGCAGAGGGGCTGTCAGGCGAATAAGAGCCCATTCCCTGGACTGCTTGGAAATGTTCCACCTGTTTCTCTGGGACACCATGAGGCCTGACAGGGTCTGTGATGGAGGACTCTGGGCCCTCCCTGAGCCCCTGCATCATCCCCTATCTGGTGCCATGACCCTAAGAGTACCTCTGTTTTACTTGAGACAGGGCTGTCAGACTGGTCCTCCCACCCCTCCCTGCCCCCATCATGGGGTTCTGTGGGACAGTGAGCTCAGCAGGGAAAGGAAATGCAGGTGAGTCCTAAGCACAACTGGAGACCCCACCCTATGGTGCAGACTGAAGCCCCCAGGAGGGATGTTCCACCTCAGGTCACTGGACACTTGGGTGGACACCAGCGCTCTGTCCTGCACAATGGTGTTTGTGTATGTAGCTCAGAGATATGGGACATGGCACCCCTCTTCCTAGAGGTAAATGTGGGGTCCCAGTTTTGCCCCACACAGCTCATCAGACCTTCAATGTTTCTTGAGTCTGGCAGTGGATTTTCCAGGCAGCCCTTGAAGCTTAAACTCCAGGGCCCCTCACTGGTCCCCTAACTGCGGACTTCAAGGCTTTGGACCTGGGTCTGCCCTGACTGCTGAGACGGTGCTAAGGGGTACTAAGCGGGGTGTGAAGTGGTGGCTGAGAGGTTAGGGGCAGCTTTGTGGGGTGGCCTTGAAGGAGGGGAACAATGGAGCAAAGGCCTGGGGCCTATTGAAGGCTCAGTGTAGGGAGGCCTGTGTGCCCAGAGCTCTGGATGGTGGGAGGGGCTGGGGTTCCTTTCAAAGGCATTGGGGAGTCAGGAGCAGTTTTAGGCAACAGACCATTGTGAACTTAGAGTTTTTTACCTGTCTGCACAGTCTAGTCCCATGCTGCCATCTCTGGGTGCCATCCCCTAGGTCCTCAATATCCCTTCTCACATAAACCAGGCACCATCCTGCCTCAGGGCCTTTACACAGGCTGTTCTGTCTGCCAGATACTCTTCCTGCAGATGTCCATGTATCACCGTCCTTCCCTCCTCCAGGTCTTCTTTCAGACACCACCTCCTCCTCCTCAAGGCTTCTGGATATCACACCCGCACCTTCCTCGCCCCTTTCATGGCTCTGAATGGTTGTGTAGCACTTATACCTTCTAAAGTACAATATATGTCTACTAAACATAATGTTTGCAGTGTTGGTTATCTGTGTTCTCTGCTCCACTGTCAGCCCTACCAGGGAGGGGTGGCCCATTAGGTTCACTTCTGAGTCCTAGCCCCTGATCAGATGCTTAATATTTTGGAATGAATGAATGATTGAGTGCATTCAGTGCAAAGAATACTCTGACCTGGCAAATAGTGAGAGTGAGTGGGAGAGATGGGGGAGGCTGGTGGCAGCCCAGCGGAGGATGGAGCCTGTAGTTTGGGGAGGAGTGACCAGGACTTGGGGACAAAACCCCCAAGACTCAGAGAGAGGCTAGAACCCTGTAGGTCCAAGTCCTTTGACTCTCAGGTCCACTTCAGATCCCTGGGAAGCAGTTGCGGGTCTGCCTCTGGCTGCCAGGCATGGTGGGTTCTCAGGCTGGTCCACACGAAGTTCACTTCCCCACTCTCAGAAGAGAGCCCTGGGGTTCTGGCAGCCTGCCCAGACTGACATCTTCCCAGGGCGCACATAAAAGATCCCCCTTCAGCAGGAACACACATCTGCCTGGGGGGG